AATTGAACTGAAATGGAAGGGGTGGTGGTGGGGTGGAGGATTGGCCTGTCCAATGAGTGATGATGTGTGATGAGCCAGGGGTGGCTAGAGGGGAGGTTTAGATGTTTTGTAATGCCTTGACCACAGGCCCAAGAACAGAGAGATGAAGACCCCACATGCCCCCACACACAGTCAACCCATTCTCCGACGTAATATAAACAGCACAGCGGCAAGGCGGAAAAAGTTATAAAATATTTGAAAAATCAAAATAGAATATATAGAAAATATAGAAAATAAAGGAAGGAAAGCCTGCCGCCTGCCTGTGTGCCAAGACATCTGTGGAAAATTACAGCATTTTACGTTGTGTTGTGCTGTGGATGTTTCCTCTGTTGACTCTTTTTTTTCACGCCCCCAACACGTGCCCCCACCCCACCCCACAGCTGCGTGTGTGTGTGGTGTATTGTTTTGGTGGTGTATTGAGGTGGGTTGCGGTGGTGGGTGTGGTGGCTGTTATTTTGTGGTCGCCGTGTGGGATGATAAAAAGTGTTTTCTCACATGCAACACACACACAATTAATTCTGAATCATTTAACGGCGCGTGTCGCCAATTTGAAAGATCGAAGAGGAGGCACAGGTACAGCTGTACAGGAGAGGGGAAATTCGCTTTTCGTGTGTCAATTTTTACACAGCATTTTCCCCCACTTGTTGTTTTTTTTTTTACTTTTAATTTGACTGGACTTTGGGCTTACATTTAATTCGGTTTCGTTCCCCTCGCTGGCTCTCTGCTGATAAGATAGGGTTATCAACGAAGCACGAAAAAACTAAGGCATCTTGACAGGTTTTGTCCGACTTTACAAGTCCTCTATAGATTGGGGTGGGGTTGACAGAGGGTGGGGTACTCAGGGGGTGGGTAGACATTGCCGCCGTCAGGCAGTCTCCGGAATAATGTTAGCCAAAAGGTGTGTCTCAAAAAAAAAAGCAAAACAACTCAGGGAAAGGTCTCCCCAGTCTGCTGTGGAAATTTACAAGTGTTTTCCATTCAGTCACGGAGACAGAGCGAGAGAGAGAGATAGAGAGGGAAGCAACAGCTGGCCAGCCAGCCGGGCCAGTGGAAAATTATTGTTATGAAGCGCTCGAGAGTATTTGGGTAACAATTCATATAACAAGTGGTTCGAGGAGAAGGCATTTTGGAGAGCCAGAAATCTTTCGAAAACGATGCTCGATATCGTAATGGAAATTTTACACAAACAAATTGGAATAATGAAATGAAAACCTAAGAGCTACTGGTACCCAATCGACTGAAAGATTAAGATTAAACTTCTACCCTACAATTTCTACTTCAAATGCAATCGAATCTATATTTTTCTCTTCATTTACAATCACTTGAAAATCTTGTTTGCCGATTTCCTAAATATTAATTTCCACAAATTTCCATGCTACTAGTTCCCTTTCAGGTTTCCATTACCCAGATTTGCCTGTTCTGTTTAGCTGCTCAATATACGATACGATATACGATACAATAAGCGAATATATTTCCCCCATAGACAAAGCTTATTGAGCTCGTTAAGAAATTGTTTCGCATTTGTTTGGACAATCGACAGAGAATATGTTTTGATTAGTGATTTCCTTATACAATATTGTGTGGTAGAAAACTATCTGTGTCCAGTATCTGTTGGATACAACTACAACGAAAATTGATAAGAGACTGTAAGAGAGATTGTGTAGTTTTGTTTAGTCAGAGGTGGTTCCTCGTTCTGGTCCCCTGTCCATGTGTGTCAGCTGAAAGTCAACACGCGCCAGGCGTAAAACTATAAAGATAGATGTACTTGATCTATATTAGGTATAGGGGAAAGTGTCTAGCTGCTATCAAACCATAGCAAGCAAATGATTGAATATAAATATGTTGTGTTTTTTTTTTTAATTCTCTTTGCATCATTCGCTTGTGCATCCTTGAGTCGAGCATTAATTTAGAAGCCAGTGCAGCACCATCACAGATAAATTTACCTGAGCTTCAGCCACTTGTTCTTCTAATAGTAGCTGCCATTTATGATAGTTGCTGGCAAAATGTTTGCCCTATCTCTGCTCTATTTGCCTTTGGACACGCGAATCACGCTGGGGATGAGTGGGATGAGCTCTGAGGCTGATAAGCAGACGCCCAGCTAGACAAAAAGGCAAACTGATAACAGACGACAACACAACACAACACAGATGAAAATGTGCTGATAGTAGCTTAGCCCCCCGCACAACCCTCCATCCAACAGAGCCCTCCCTCACTCCTCTGGTCCGCCACAGTCGCGCAGCAATTTGAGAAATTTTGTTTTTGATTTTTTTCGATTTGCCGTCAATGAATTTCAATTGTTGATTGCCCGGGACCATTTAGCAGCAGCAGGGCGACGACAGCAGCAGGCACAAGTCTGCGTCAGCAACCAAATTAAATAAAAAATCAAAATAAGTACACAAAGAAGTGCTCCCTCGATTCTGCTTAGAACAGGTTTAGTTCTGCTTAGATTAGCTTTTATTTTGATAAGAGCTGTGCGTTCTGTAGTTCCGTTTTTCATAAACATACATTAAATGAAAGATGATAAGAGCCTACTTCTTTTGTATTGTATTGTATTGTTATTCCTTGTTATTCGTTGGGGCATTCTGGCCAAGGGAAACACCTTGAAGGCAACGCTATACCAATATCAATATTGTATTGTATGTACAACGGTCAGTCGTCAGTCGGCAAGCAGCTGTCAGACAGTCCATCAAATTTGCCTTCTTTGATTATGGCAAACATTTGTATGGACTAAATATATTTTTAGGGGTATGATCGACAGGTGATCGGCAGCCAGCAAAGCAAACTGGGAAGAAAGAGAGAGGGGAAAGCGGTATATACTGCCAAAAAAAAAATACAAATACACAACTCGAAAGTGGATCTGCTTGGACATTGAGTGAAGCTTCCTTTGGGGAACGTATCTATTTCTTGGTTAAAGGTAAAGTAGAGCAAGTTCTACGTTTGGGTTTATTTTTTGTTTGTTTTATTGTTCTCAAATGGTGTTTTTCCCACTGGAAACTACCGAGTCTTGAGCTGATTCTGGGTTCATTATAATAACTAATGACTCCTTCTAAAGAGTCTCTGAAAGAGATGAGAAGAGATAAGATGAGTGTTCAACCATTTCAATGGTGTCTTGTCTTTGGTCTAAGCCCCTGCCTCATCCACATCCACATCCCTTGAGACCGATGACTTTTGATGACTTGTAAATAGCCTTTCAAATACACATTCGACCGCCGCTCATTTTGTGTGTCGTAAATCCCATGCTGACCACGACTCCTGTCTCATGACCACACCAAAAATACATCTAGCAGGCCATAAAATGGCAAGCTACAGTCGAGACACACGAAAAAGATGGCAAATTGCAATTAAATCGTCAGACAGGAGGCTGGGCGCTGCATGTGGGCTGCAGTTTGGGCTCCTGCTGCACTTTTGTGACGGAGACATTAAATCGTTTTATGGCACCCTCGGTCTCAGGTAGGATTCACAGGTAGAGCCACGGCCCGCCTGCTAATTGCATTCGAATGCGCAAATTAGTTGTAAAAATATCTAAATGAAAGACCGCGCGTGGGTGGCTGGCACGTGTGGCACAAATTAACTTTTACTCAGTGACAAAATCATTGGATTCCACCGTTCAAGGCCCCCCCTACAAAATGTATAAGGGAAATCATCCTTTACTCATAGCTATATCTTTGATACACAAAGATATATCTATTTTGCTTGCTTGGTGGTTTATTTTTAGACATTTCAATTTCAGTTGAATAGACTTTCATCTTGACCTGAATTTTTTCGCTGTTATTGCTACTTTTATTTTATTTTTATTTTTATTTTTTTCAAAAAATTCATTGAGTTTTGTCTGTGAATTTGTTGTTCCTTTTGTATCCTTGAGAACATTTTTTTTTTTGGTCGATAATTTAATTGACAAAACAAGTAATATTCTTCGACGAATTACTTGTCGACAATTGGCATAAAGTTTTTGGGTTAAGGACAGCGACAGCGACAGAACACGCCAAAAAGAAATTACTGAAATATCAAATTAATTGGAAACTTTGTTTAAGGTTGTCGAAAATTGGGTATATATCGTTGGATATATTTTTCATTGGGAAATTTGATCATATTATGCTCCTCATAACCCGCCTAAGCAGCACATTCCTTCCCCAATTACGTGAAAAGTTCTTATTCCTAGAACCTATCAAAAAAAATGTGCTCACCAATCAAAGTTCTCACCTTTTCATCAAAAACAGAAAAAAAAGGGACCCGAAACTTGGTAAACAAATGAGCAGACCAAAAAGGAATGATCGAGGAAAAAAGAAGAACTCAAAACAAAAACGAAGAGCCCCGCAACAACAATTAACGAAAAATTAAAACTGGAAAGCGAAAAAGAAGCAGAAGCAGCAAAAAAAAAAAAAGAAGAAGAAAACAATGCCCACAAATAATCATGAATTATTCAAGGCCAATCGAGGCGGCAGCACTCACAATAACACTATTTTATAGACCCCTCTGCTCTCTATGGATGTGTGTGTGTATCATTCGATTTTTGTGTGTTTACTATTTGGTATTCTGCGGCCCCAATGCGGGACCCCCGTCAAGCACAGTCGGCGAAAGAGTTTGGCTCGGTTCTGCTCGCCCTCTTCCCTTCACATTCACATTCGCACTATTTGGTATACCCTAGCGAAGGGTAACATTATTTTGTGTAGAACTTTATTTCTTTTTCGGAATTATTAGCCACACACTACACCCAAAAATGTAAGTGTACACAAGCCTTCGTTCACCACACAATTGCTGGTTCTTTTTTTCTTATTTATCTGTATTTTATCATGATATTTGCGGCTGATTTTGTTTTTGGGTGTGTAGAACCCTCTAATGCGAAATAGTTTAATTATTTTGTTGTGCTAACGAAGGCGAAAAATATACAGAGCTGGAAATAAAAATAGAGCAAGATGGCCAGAGGCGGCGGCAGACAACTTCCAATTGTGTTTTCATTTTTCTATTTTTGGCAAAAATAAACAACAACAAAAGCTCATCACTCGCGTTGATCCACCCGCCCAAAACACTGGAGAACTTTTCAAACTTGTCAAAGTATTTTCCATTCCAATTAAATTTATTTGTGGAATTTTTCTTCCATCATGTTTTGATTGAAATTCATTGAATGGGTTGGTGGTGTGGGGGTCTTGTGGAAAAATTTCAACTAACATATCGCAAAATACTCGGGGAATATTCATATCTATACCAGATGGTTATGGTTAACCGATTGACTTACGCCGCCCCACGGACCACAACAGAGCGATAAAAATGTGTTGTCTTCAGGCTTATGATACTTATGATGCATATTATTCATTTGATGTTGTTGTTTTGCTTACCTGCAAAGAGAAGAAGCAGAATGAAGAGTGTCAAAAATAAGTAAACAAAATAAAGTCTAGTCGAATATTTTCTTAGATACATAAAACTGTCAGCGGGCATATAAATTTCTCGGAATGTGTACGAATAATACTTTCTAGAGATGCGATGCTCTAGCCGATGTTTCTGAGCAGTTTCACAAAAAATGCCCAGAAAATAGGAAATTTCCATTTCGAAAGTAAATAAATTGCGTACTCATTATAATATGGAATGCTACGAGATTATGCTCAGTGTATGATCTTCTGCTGGCTGTGTAAACTCTTCTCTTCTATGCGATTGCTCTGTGACGTTGCTGACCCTTATTCGTTTGCCTATTCTTTTCTATTATAGTGCTGTACTCGCATTAGAGAGAGAGAGTGATCATAGAAGAGTTGATCATAGCAGCGATAAAAGCTGCTACTCCTTGTTGTTTCTGAGTGCAAGGGAGAGGGCAGTGTCTGCACATGAATTTCACAAATATACGCCAAGGAGTTCTATCTTTTTTCGAAAGGAACAATGCAGTAAAACTCCTAACTACAAATACAATAATATTATCCATATTGTTATTATTTTTTTATTCCCAAGTTTCCATAGATAATTATATGAAATTATATGCCATAGAATTTCTTTTAACTATTTCCCCCGTCATGCTTTGAAATGAAAGAACAACAAATGTTTCTCAATCGTTTCTCTGTCTCGTTAGTTATAATGCGGAAGCAAAAGTATTTTATATGGCGTCTAAATACACACACACGAATACATAGTATGCACACACACACACATAAGTACGTATATAAACACCCATAAAGCTGTATTTGATATATTTATGATCGTTTTGTTTTCGTCGTAGACCAAAGGAAAACTTTCAACTGTGTGGGGGCCTAAATTTGCCATGGGCTCTCTCAAGTCGCCCCGTTGCCTCGAATGACATATTGGTGTCAATTAAAATGCAAAAGGCCCAAAAATAAACCAAAGACAAAGGCAGACAGCGGCAGCCAGCCAGTGAGCAAAATAAACAAGCCCAGCAAAACAGGCGGTGGAAACAAACAAGCGAACGACCCAAACCCGAACCCGAACACAACATTAATCATCAATTGCAAAATCGCGTTTTAAATTTAACGATGAGTTTTTGTATCACTGCGATGCTAAAAGCAAACCCAGCAAACAAATACCATATGGGGCTGGCGGGGTGCGGAGACAAACGCGTTTTGTGTTTTGGTGGGTTCGATCATGGCCAAATTTAAATCGCACCACAGCACAGACCACACAGCTCCCCCCCCCCAGGTAGGTAGGTGTGTCTCGGCCAAGTGCCAACGCGCGCACGCCACGCCACGCCGGAGCCACGCACACGCATACGCCACTCGCTACTCTCCGCCTGCGATCTGATCTGATCAGATCAAATCAGATCTGTGCGGCTCAATTCAGATTCCGTTTGGAAGTTGTCGAACAGGTCTCCAAAACAGTCTTCCCCCCCATACAAGTCACGACTCTCGGACTGGGTCTCTCGCCCCACATCGATCGGCGAATGCATTTGAATTAGGCGCCTTGACTAAATGGAGTGAACGAAACGCACTTGAAATTATGCTAAAATATATGTGGCTGGAAAATAAGAGAGGATTGGCTATGGCATGGCAAACAAATGAGAAATATTTGTATGGGGCATGAGAAATTTGCTCTTTGAAATCTACAAAAAATATACATTTATCAGGCACAGTTTTTCCCATGTGAATAAGTACTTTTAAATGGCATAATTATGCCTACAGTTAAGTAAGTTTCCCATTTAAAAAGTCTCCAATAAACCTCGTATATCTGTAACTTTAATCTCTTGCACTCCCCCTGGCTATCACAAAATATGTGGCAATCCTTGACTCCAAGTAAACCCAAATTATCTTATCGGTTTCCACCGCCCATTCAACAGCCGATCGAGCATTTGTTAAGTCCGTCAGGTATGAGTGCCATTTAAACCAACTTCCAAACTCCACTGGCACAGCCAAACAGGTTTCAAACTCAGACTGTGACTGTGATGTCACTAACCCAATTAGAAAGCAAGTGCTGCCCCCCGAACACACGAATCAAAATCAAAACGTAAACGAACCCTGCAAGCCAGACAAATTGCTGCCATCATTTTGTGTATAATAATAAATTACTTAAAATACTAAAATACTATACTATGCAATATAAAAATAATTGCAAAATGCTAAAACTGTGGCAAAAATACATTTTGAATTCTGTATATATATTTAGCAATTTTTCGTTGGGTAGATCTGTTTGTTGTATGGCCAAAAAGTTAATTAGGTCAGCAACTGTTTTTGTCAGTTCTTAATAATTTTAAATTTTTATTTTCAGTTTTTTGTGTGTTTTTATTTTAAACAAATTTTTGCGTGAGTGAACAATTTGCTTGGCAACAAAATGGGGGAAACAACGTTCCAACCGCAACAACAAAATTGGCAAAGTATGGACAAAACTGTAGAGGCGATCGGGAGTACAGCACAATTTATTTTGTGTGTGACAGGCCGGACAGCCTGGACAGTGGGACGTTTTTGCGACAGTTGATTGACATATTCAGTTGTTGTGCAAAGTGGCACGGCATACGAGCCAGGCAGGCCATGGGCTAAAAACATAATTGTTTTTGCCCCAAAGGAGAGAAATTTTGCATAGACTGGACGGACACGCCCACAAAAAAATAATGGGACATTCCCAAAGGTCAAACCCGGCACAGAAGAAGGTCTAGGACACCCAAAACACAACAACAGCAACAACAACAACCACAACAACAAAAGTTGAAAACACTTTTGCAAGGTTTATTTTCTGCATTTTGATTACCTTTTGTTTTTTGTCTGATTTATCATCGGAACGGAACAGCCACGTTCGCGAAATTAAAAGCGATTAAGAATACATTGAGCTTTGTGTTTTGCTTCCTGCTTTTGTTTAATGATTGTGTAGAGCGAAAGAGAGAACAAAGACGGAAGATTGTGGCTAGAGTTCATCGGATATGGCACAAAAGGTCAATCGGCACAAACGGCAGCCTCTACGCCTCAATCTATCACACTGACTGCTCTACAGAGGGGGGATTCACCCAAGACAGACACGACTATTATTAATTTTATTTAATACCCAAACGGGTTTTTTCTTTTGTTTAATATTCATCGCCCGAGACTCAGAGAAAACATTTAATTTTGAAAGTCAAAGTGTTTTTTTTTGGTTGATTAGAAAATACTTTTTGGCACCCATTAGGCAGGCATTTTTCTGTGCCTGTAAAGTTTCCGCATTTTCGGCAGACAGGAAGCAGGTTGTCAGAAAGCGCAGAGAAAGAGGAAAATAAAATGCCATAGCTTTAAGCAAAAGCAAGACAAAGCCAAATGAAGCAGATGATAAATTGTCTTTGGATTTGATGAAAATCTGCCTCATTAAATTTAATATTGAGCAAAGTTTGTTTGGCCGCATAATTGTTGGCTAATTAAACGTTGCATTCACTTCATTAACAGGGAATTTCTCACAAGCTAATTAATGACAGAAATCAAATTTAGAAAATTTCCTGTGTATAGCATATACACGCCCGCCCCCTCCCCTCTTTAATAATCGAATTGATGATATTTTGCAATGTGGCAAGATAAGCGGAAGGCACTTCACAGCAGGCCACAGGCCCTAGGGTATTTGAAAATGTGTTGATAAAACACACACATTTAATTCCCCAAAGTGTTCAGATAAGACTACACTTATTCCCACAAGTGCGCTAGACTTCTAGTTCCGATATGACTGTATTATTCCCACAAGTCTAGGAGAGGGTCTATCTATTCTAATACAATCTCGAGTGCTTTAGGGGGAGGGCGAATGCAATCATGGTGGGGGAATTGCAGAATGGCAGAGAGCGGCAGGCGTAGATTAACTGGCAGATACAGAGCAATCCTTAGACAAAACAACTGCCCTTTTAACAGCAGAAGCTTCAGCGTAATCACAGCATACTTTGGCCCAAGCAACGGGATTAACTTTTTCAGAATTTACTCGAACCCGAACACAGTGCTCTTTTGTCTGAAACAACAGCGCCAAAGCTGGAGAAGCAACGGCATTCTGCAATGGAAGTATCTGGAAGACATACCCACAGTGCTCGTTTGACCCAGTAGACAGTGCACTTTTTCGTGTAACAGCCGCAGGCAAGAGCTTTGGGCATTCCGTGCATCTGACGACAGTGCACTTTTTCGTGTAACAGCCGCAGTCTCTGTTCAACAATTCCACATGTGCAACAGCTCACAGCGAACTTTTCAGTACTCTAGCAGTACAGCCGCAGCCACACATTCTAGACCTTTTCAATAGAAATCTGCTCACAGCGCACTTTTGCTGCCAACAGTCGCAGTCTCTGGCCCCTGGCCATTCAATGCTTTCGCATTTTTCGTTTGTATATTATGAAAATTGAGTTTGCCTGGCAACAGCAAATGAAAAATCAACTACATCGAGTGTATATATTTGTACATACATACATGTATATAGAGATATGTGTATTGGCGATAAAACTGACCCACTTTTGGAGCTGCAGCCAGAGCTATGCACGTACATAAAAAAGCGCACAAAAAAAAAACACATCAAGCAGCTTGAACGACAATTGCAAACTTAAACTAAAGGCTATCTTGTCGTAGTCGTATTCGTAGTCTAGCTGGAAAATGTTGAATGTCTGGTTCGGTCGAGACTGTTGTGACTGTTGGGGGAGAGAAGGGGGCTGGCTGCTGTGCAAACACGTTATAACCTAGCACAAGCTGGCGATGGCTTGGCTATGGCTATGGCTCTTTTTGGTAGAAACTCTACATAGAAAAAACTCCCAACCCAAGCCACCCACTCGAATGCATTGCAACCTTGAAAGTGAAAAACAACGTTCGATTCGGAGAACTTTGTTTCCTCTATAATGTGTCTGTAATGGCACTCTAATTGCAGTTTACTTTTCTCGCAAAATGTGGCATTAATGACTCACACAGACACACTCACTCATAGAGGGGGACGACGCCGATGAGGTCACCTTCTCTCACTCACCCATTGAAATATTAGCTCATTGCATTTACTGACTACCTTTTTCCCATCACAGTTTTGTCTTGCAATTGACACGAACTGCGGAGTGTCGGCGACCTCCGCAAAGGGTAAAATAAAACACACACAATACAGAATACAGAATCAAATGGCGTCTTTCGTCTTAAATTCTAAAGAAATCTCTTGCCACTCGTACTCGTTTTATATAGAACGTGTTCAGCTGTATTACGAGCACAACAGAGCCAGAGATCATCATCATCTGGTCGTCGTTTCTGGGCATTGAGTGACTGCACTTTTGTGACGCAATTTCACTTTTGAAAAGTAAATGACGTCAGATGACTCCCCCTTGCTGTGTGACAAATTCCACTTGGTAGCTATTTAATGGGGAGCTAGGGATGGCATATTAATTAATAAGTAAAATCAATCAGTAATCTTAGCAACAAGTAAAGGGAGCAACGATCCAATCGACACCAATTTCAATGACTAACTTCATTTGTTTTATCCAAACCCAGAAATCCTATCTGTCTTTTGGATTCCAGGTCATCTTTTATCATTACTTTCCCTTTTCGTGTCCCCACTTTTGTCACTGGCCCATCTCTAGTTGTGTATAAATTACAGATCAACCGATAGACACGCAGGCACAGCGGCAGGCCGTAGTAGCGTCAGTGCCATGTCTAATTAGCACATAACTGGCTCAAACCATTACGGCTTAGGATACGAGCCACTCACTTACTTTGTGTCGACCAGTGGACCGACCGTATCGACCCACAAGTATCGATTCTGACGTCAATTGTTTGAAAATTGCGCGCTGCGGTGAGCGAGCGAATTGTCAATGCAATTAGTTGGGCGGCCTAGCAGAGTAGATGCCATGACAGTGCCACAGTGCCAGCTGAACGACTACTTAAGTTACTTGGTTATCGATACTCGGACAGAGACAATTATTGCTTGAGAACTCTGAACTCCAAGCACGTGGCTGGCTGGGGGTCTGTCTGTATTGGTTTACTGGCCCAACTGATGTTTACCCATCCTAAGACTGTTTCTGTTTGCCGATTCTTTGCCTGTTATGCAATCTTCTTGCTGGCTTTCCCGCCAGCGATTCTTTTGTTCTTATCGGTGTTTGTTTTTCGCTTCGCTCGCTGGGGAAAAGTAAATTATTTAACACTACTATGCTTGTTCGAAAACTCCCCACACTTGCACAAACAGCAGAAGCAGACACAGAAACAGAACGAAACAAGAGTGGGAATGTGGGTGTGTGGGTGTGTGGTAAAAACCCACCAGAGTCAAGTCAATGTGTTGATATGTATTTTTATCTTATCTGTCATGCTCTTTTTATGGTCTTGTTTATGAGACTGGGTCTGCATTTTGTTTTTCACTAAAGTTGACAAAAACAAAGCCCAAGTACCGGTACCAGAGTACCTGGAAGTGGGAGGAGGCTCGCCAGGTCTCCGTTCCGCACCAAAACCGAACCATAAATGTCATTAACTCATTAACTGGTCTTAACGTGTATTCTCTTCTTTATCTGTGTTGTTTTTTTCACAATTTCTTCCCCAATATGTGAGGATCGGTTGGGTAATGGTGGTATTTATGGTTACAAAGAATGGTTTCAAAGGGAGAATATTTATGGGGTGTGTAAAGGTGCGTAAGCAGGAAGAAAGTAAGGAAATGCGATGATGGTTTCATTGGCATATTAACGTAAAACTTTCTATTAATTTATTTATTTATATTGACAGGATTTTTGGCTTTAAAATAAAAAGAAGCAGTTGGAACTTTGAATACTAGTATCTTAGGTATATACTCAAGCAGTAAAGAAAGGGGTAAAGCCAGCAATGAACAAAGAGTTTCCGCACTCTCCATGAGTACAAGACAAGAAAACTCACCCTCTACGGTCAAGCTACTCTGTGGGAGAGTAGGCGGCTAGAACCCATTTAAATCCCATTAAAATCTGAGTTGCTAGTTGCCCCAATATTATCATATTAAAATGCCACCAACAACATCAAGGTTTAGCCTTACATATTACCTTGACTAGCCAAATAATATTGCTAGCCAAAGTCTTGTCTTTCCAGTCTGGGTATTTCTGCTGATAAGTTGCTTATTTTGTACGACTGGCTGACTTGTGCCACTTCAAATCAATCATTAAATGTTAGCCTAACCTAAAAACCTTATCAATACTCGTAGACGGTCTCCTCCTTCTGGTGTATGGCAGAACGAACAAAACATAATCATTGGCGGCGCCAGGGCTCGCTTTGCTTTGTTTTTTTCTTTCGATTGGAATTTGTTTTCTTTCTTCGATTCGATTTCTTCTGCCGGGCAGAGTACGCACAGATTAGCATACAAATTGAAGCGTGTGAGTGGGACACTGTCATTGCTCAAACAGTACGAGTAGTATATACTCGGTATACACATAGATTACACTTCATCAAACGTTGATGTTTCTTTCTGGCGCTGCGCGAACAATGACAAAGTCTCTGGGCATATCTATCGCAGCATCATCGCATGTTTATTTCCATATATGGAATGAAAAGTGCGCAATATATACACGGTGACGTCAGTGCGAGAGAGAGAGAGAGAGAGAGAGCGGGCGAGAGCATCTTGGAATGACTGATAGGTGATATTAACTCGTATGAAATAATTGTTTAAGGAAGCATACGCTTCCGCCTGCTCAAAGGGTGTCTGGTGTCTCCTCGTTTATTATTATTTAAGAAAATACTGCAGCAAAATAAATTACATTTTATTATTTGTTATTTGACGTTCTTTTGTACGGGGCGGGCAGGCAGCCTCCGTTCTCCGTTCTTTATGTGACTCAGTGATGAAAGACTACAGAATCCGCCATCTGAAATCCGTAATCCACAAATTGTCTGCTCACATCCCACGGCTTGACAAGTGAAAAGCAGCAGCAACAGCAGCAGCAGCAGCAGAAACAATGGGAACGGAAGGATTCTAAAGATAAACCAAACAGATTCAATGGGAAATGTCATAAAATTTGAATGAAATGCGGCAACTGTTGAGGGTTTTTCTGTGATGCTTAAAGTGGGAAGAGTCATCTGGGGGCGTACAAACGCAATTTCATTGAGGTAAAAATATGTTTTGTGCTGCTAATTGGCACAGAAATAAACTAGCGCAATAATTATGGTACATTTTTAGGAATATCAGGCTAGATTTTGGCTGCAGCACACACAGCCTAGCCTGGATATTAAGATATCTTCAGAAATGCTTTGACATAAAGTCAAGTGTTACCTTCAGATTACTTTTTCTCTTAGCAAAGATCTATAGTCGAGGGAAGTCTTAGTAGGCACCAGATATACCAGACATACAAAGGAATCAGTTTCCATCATTTATCATTAAATCATTGAACGTTGTCGTGTGACTAGCACAACCTGTGTCACAACTCCCTTCAGTAGCTACCAATTAATGAAATTAATGGTTCTCTGTTAGATTTTTGTTTAAGTACAAAACCAACACATGTTCACACACTACCCCAAAATAACTCTATAATTTGTAGTGCCCTGGTCACAGAGTAGCTTAGCAGCAAAACGGATGTACAAAATGCTGCTGACTTTCACTCGAGACACAAAAGAGACATAGGGAGGAGGGGGAGGCTATGTGGAGGAAGAAAAGGCTTACTGGCGGAGTGGTGTGTGTCACAGAGGAGGCCGCCCGAAGGCAATGCCAGTGTTCGGTGATTGAGTTGAATAATTATAATTATTATCTCAAAGCAAACAAAATCGTTGGTTGTTGGTTGTTTTTTTTTCTTTACACTTTTTGTCATGAATTGGCAAACAATTTATGACATTTTTTGAAGTGTGGCATTTGCTGCGTATGCGTATGGGTGTGTGTGTGTGTGTGTGAGCAGAGATAAGCAAAACCATACAATTGCGAAAAAAAAAAATGTCTGCCATTTTGTAAACAACACAAAAGCCCTGATAAGCAGCTGGAGAGACCGAGAGCCGCTGCCTCCTTCCTCCTCTGCCAGCGGCGGCGGGAGCTCATAAAAATATCAGCCCGAAGCCTCGTATAAAATTTTTATTTTATTGTATTTATTTTTTGTTTTTTCCCCCGCCAAGGTCAAAAGCAACAACACAGAATTCAACGCATAAATTCTGTGGCAAACAAAAGTTAAGGGGAAAAAGAGAGAGAGAGAGACACAGAGCGACAGTTGGGGGAAGGGAAAATACTTTCACAATGTGAGAGAATGCGGGAAAACTTTTCTAGAAAGGAATTCAAAAGAAAGAAGCAAAGAACTGCAGTGAAAATGAAATGAAAGTGTGTGTGTGTGTGTGTGTGTGGAGAGTGGGGAGAGAGGAGCGCAATTGAATTGACCCAAATGACCATTACGGGTGCCAAGTGGCAAGAGCAGCCAGCAGCAGCAGCAGCACTGGCCACTGTCTCTGTGCATCTTTCAATTGGTATTCGTGGAAAAGGAAAAGTTGATTGACTTTAAATGAGGCATGCCACAAGTTAGTTGCCAGCCACAATACACGACACACAAAATGTGTCACACAGCCAGCGAGTTCCGCTTTGTGATGGGGATTGATGCTTTGATTCTGTGCATATCATTCATAAATGAAAGCCGTTTGCCATCATTCAACGTTCACATGTGACTGGCAATGCTTTGCCAGTGTTGAAAAATGGCATTAAGAAGCTAAAATTCTATGAAATTTAACACTTTCAAATATTTTAAGGCAGCAATATTAATTTCAAGTGTACGATTATCGTTGCTGGCGCCTGTTTTTATGGGTTTTTTTTTTTGTGGCTTTTATTGGCAATTTCCGATTGCAATAGTTTGATTAGATTGCCCTAGGAATACGATTATTTCGCTGAGCCCACAAAGATTAGGTACAGATACACAAGTCGTTGGCTTTCCATTCATGAGGTTCATTGACAAAAAATCAATTGTCATCTTGTTGGGATTGTTCATGCTCTTCGCTTCTTTTAATTGGGTCTAAATATAGAATCGCCTCCATTGATATCCACGCTGCAGAGGCTGGCAGGCTCTTCACCACAAAGCAAAAATTCAATTCAATTGAACTAAATTCGTGCCTCAAACACACAGAATTGAAAGGCAGAGAGAGGGAAACAGAGGAGAGTAGGCGGGCCCACTTGATTGAATTGTATCTTTTGGTCGGCTCAGTTCGTGCATCTTTCGATGGGCCTTTGCCTTTCAATTGCTCTGTTGACTGCCGTCCAAGACTGGACCGGAGACCTTGCCTAATCGAGATTAAGAATGGATCAGCCAAGAGCCAACTGCCCAACCGCTTTCATGGTCAAAAGTTCAAAAACGTTTCGTTCAGTCCATGACGTCGTCGTCATCGTCGTCGTCTTCTCTCGTTGATGTTTCATTTATATTTTTTTTTTTTGCTTTTGTTTCCCCGTTCCACTGATAAGACGAGTTATTTTTTGTATGACATTTTTTTGTCCATTATAAAGATTAGCGGACTACATGCTATCAGAACGGTTCTTATCTATTCTATGACCTGATGGTCGTATTAATAAAACTCTGATGTAAAACCAATTAGAAATTGAATGAAAATTGAATGGGAATTGGAACTTACCATTGCCTGTTCGATTTTGTTGTCAATCGCAACTGCACTTGTTCCAGATGCACTGAAAGAAATTATTGCAAGAGTAAAAAATTAGTTTCGATTTTAAGGCGGTGGGAATTACATAAATATAAATTATAATTAAATTATTATTATAATTATATAAAAACCTTTTCTTGGTTAAGTTCTTGTGCTTTCAGCATATCTTAAATTGCTGACTAACCAACCATCTACAATTCCAATTGACTCACAGCGCTCTCTGGCATTACATGAACTCCTTGGCTCAAATGCTCTGCCCACAATTTGTTGCTGCAAGTCAACTCACATTTGATGACACACTCCCGTGGAACCGTGAAACATGGAACCATTCCTATAATTAGAAATTATTGCGTGACAGAAAACAAAACCAAAAACCATGCTGGTTGATAAATACTAGACAGACAGACAGAAGTACCCCCCCACATGGATATAAAGTGTGGCAAAAGTTTTTTTTTGCCTCGAGCCAAGATCATGGCAAACACAATACGTGTGTGTGGGTTCATTGCTCCACAGAGTATTTATTCTCAAATAGAATTTCAGATGGGATTATTCTGTGCGGAATACAGGCTAATAAAAATACGTTTAAGCAGTTTTAAAGGTGGTTTTCTTAGCGAATATTAATCAATTTGTTAGGTCCTTGAAAGGTTTTTGTATGCTCACTAAAAACCCGGCATTAGAGTTGATCTACGACCGGCTTAATTTTGTATCTTTTGCCAATTCAAGGTGAGCCAGATAGAACCATAGAAAAACAACTTTTTGCAAGCTTTTATGTAAAGCGAATTCAAGCTGGAGCAATACTGTGTTGGCGGTTATTGATATATTTATGCTGCCAGTGTTGCATAATTCCCCTAGCAATTTATCGAAACAATGCTGTAGCTCTACGCTGCACTCTCAATAATTAAGAAAGCTCAGTCTGTAGCTCTTGTTGATTGATGGGTTGGCATAAATTGATTTAAAGAAAAAATTAAATATTCAACCAAAAAGATTTCGATTTCTATTAAATATCCCCCCCTCATTCATCTTTCACTCTGGCCTCTTGACAATTTAATTGCTCATTTGGCATTGCAATTAGATGGGGGAGCTCAGATTGGCGATGGCAGCTTAAACTTTAACACGGCATCGAGGAAGTTTTATTGTCATATTGACCTCAATTTGCTAGACTGACTGTCTGTCTATCAGCAAGGTCAGATGGCCAAAAATAGCGTGGACTCGAAGGTCTAACTCCGATCTCCCACCTGGGGGAAAAAAGTCTTGCTTGATTTGTTTTTAATTGAGACTTTACTCAAAAACTGTTGAGAGATGATGAGGCTATTAAATGGTTAAAGGAGACTCTCAAAAATTGATGAAAATAATATGATAAATATTATGCGTAAAATAATTAAATTAAAATTATAGAGAGCATTAAATTTAAAGTTTTTGAAGGCGTAATTTTGACAAAATAACAACAAAATATATTCCACATTCCACAACAAAAACAATGTGTACTCTCATGATTAAGAAAATTTGTTCGCTGCGGTTCTTTTGTGTCGAAATGCATTATTGTTTACGAGTACGAATAAGAGTATATGGAATGGACTGGGGAATGCACAAATGATGAGATGCGATGAGACTTGGGTCATGGCTTGGATGGATTTGCAGCTGGCAATAAAAAAGCAGACAAGGAGCGCCGCATCAGAAAAAGGTTGCTCGGAAATCCGACACGGAGACTCCACCCTGAGTCACTGCACCACAACAGCAAGGACGCCAAACGGAGAGTTTTTTAACCTGAGAGGGCCCCAAGGGCCGTCGGCGTATTTTTTTATGACTTTCCCATATCTCGAGAAAAGTAAAAGTCTTGGGCCCCCCTCCCCGCCATGCTCGACCAGACGGCAGATGGCCGGTAAAGTGCAATGACTCATGTCGTGACTTTTGTTCTCTTTCTTTTGGCACAAAAATCCGAGTAAGTGCGAAATAATAAATAAAACAACGCTACATTTATTTAGTCAATGTCAGACGCGGACAACGGTCAATGGCGTCTGGTGATGTGATTATTGTTGTTGTTTTTTGGTAGCTGGAAATTCGTTTGGGAAATCCGTGTTTCTTCTGGCAAAAGAATGAAAATTCCAATTGGTCATGGGAATATGCAAATAAAGATTCCAACAGTGTCCCCCATATGTTGCCCTCGCCTAAGCCCCTCATCTCTATGCAGCATCAGACTTTCGCAATCAGCCCACAGCTGGAATCATCATTAGAGCATTTATTGTTATGGATTTCTTATCATCACCCCATCAGGTGCTTTCTGCAGGCCTCCCTCCCGCTGTACAATAATTGTACAAAGCGCAAAGAAACAAACGAAAGAAAGAACAGCCAAAAAACAAAAACACAGACGCAGAAAGCGAAGCAAACGAAAGAAGAATACCAAAAAAATAAATAGGGGCGAAAAAAAGAAATGCAAAGTTTATTAAAGTTCAAGCGCGGCTCCCGAATGCTCCTCCATCAAAAATAAGAATGATGTCATTTATTTATTTATTTTTATTTTGTTTGTGTAAGTTTCAAGATTATTTTTTTTGTATTTTATTCATTTGATTGACTGATTTTTTTTTTTTATTTTCGCTGCTTCTGTATTTTTTTCAAGTAATTTTATTTATCAAATCACGTGATGAATGAACAGTTTTATATTGCTTGCAAATAAACAACACAAAAAATATGGCAAAAGGTATCACTGACAATAACAAAATGCAAATTTAAAGCCACAAAAAAAACCATAATAATGGACAAAGTAGACGAAAATAATCCGGTATGTAAAATAAAATAAATAACGCGAATTTCTAGTTGTTTTGAAAGCTTTAAGGTGTGCTCAGAGCTTTCTGTAATTTTTTGTTTTGATCATTCATATCTTGAAGAACTTAAATCGTTGCTTATATGTAGGAAAACATATCCATGAGAAATATGTCTGCATATCAAGTTTAGGTAACATTACTTCACTCAGAGTTGAGTTCTTACGAACATTAATAAAAAGGAGTCGAGGTTTCGTCTGCTGAAGATCTATTTTCTGTTCTATGATTTTCCATTCATCCTCTCAGTAAAACATATTTCCACTATTTTTAATAAGCCATATACCCATAATATACCCCTCAGATATTCCCCGCTTTCCAAGTAATTTCGTATAGTGCCAGACGCAATGCAAGTTTGTTTTGGTTTTTATTTCTGGTTTGGTTTTCTTAATTTTTTTTTTTTTCTTTTGTTGCATTTCTGCTGGCGCCACTCGCTTGAACGTGCCACTTTTCCCTCTCTTGGCAATTGCAAAGACATCGTCAAATTACACGACGCCAATTGGCATGTAAATTTGGACGAGTCGAAGTCGAATCGAACCCGTTCGATAAGCGCATTATCTCTGGCCCAGAGCCAAGTGCCCGCCGGCCAGGTTAATCCCTTGAATGTCGCTGCTCTTTGGCATTTTCTCTTCTTGGGTCTATTTTCATTCCGTTCACATCGGACGCACCCAAACAACAGGCGACAGTTCGACATTCCCGAAATTTTTGAATTCTTGCGGATGTCGCGCAATGGCTTCGGCTTTGGCTTCGTTCGTGTTCGATCCCCACACACACAAATTGCCTCTTCCAGCACTTTTCACACCAATTGTTTTCCGCTGATTTGGCAAAAAGAGCTGCCCAGTCAGTCCCAACCACTAATGGAGTGGGGGGGGCCGAGATATTGAAATTTTTGCTGATGCAAAACATTTCTGTAAAAGAGAACTTGGCATACATATTTATGCCCACATCTCCTCGATTTCCCGGTGACGACCCGTAAATTTCTGAAGTGTTTATTTGCATTTCGGAGTGTCTCAAGAGCCAGGGCGGGGGGGATCTCTGGTGACAGTGTGTTTACGACTCCAGGAAGTTGACATCTCATACAAATTGTTGAGCAAAAAAAAAGAAAACAAATAGCCAGAAAACAGGAAGTGAATTTCGTAAAAAAAAAGCCTTGACATTCGTTACAAAATAAAAAATACAACTATGCGCTTTTTTAATGAGTTCCTTAAGAAATATAAGAAATACTATTAGTATAATAGCTACAGTTACAAAAGAAAAAGGCAAACTTCATTCATAAATCAAAAATCAAGCCAAAATAAAATGAAAAAGAAATACAATAAAAAATGGGAATAAAATAAAAAAAAAAAAAAAAATTTAAGGCGACAACAGGCATTTGCCCCTGACCCAATTACGATCGAAAATCATGGAAATGAAAAATATACACAACAAAAAAATCCGTATAAGTAGGAATAACGAAAAGGGTTCCACTACATAAAAAGAAAAGAAACCAAAAACAGGCCTGGTAAAAAACAGCTGAAAAATAAAACTGACACTGCCATAAAGTGGTCCAAGTGCAAGACCGGTTCGGTTTGCCGCCTTACTGTGAAGGAAGCCTTAAAAACAAGGCAAAGATATGTCGCCAACTTATCAGGCTTCCAGCGCAAAATTAGGCGCGTGGCAGGCACAGGCAGAGCCTGTAGAGCTCCAAGCTAATGCACAACTTTGCAACAAGTTGCCTAACTGGACGGTGGTAACGGACGAAAAATAAAATGAGGTCAGCGCTAAAAAAAGAAATAGTATTTCATGCACACACAACACACAGTCCACAACAGCTAACAACGTTGGCGATGCGATGCGATGCGTTGGCCCGTTTTTCGATGATGTAAGGCGGCAGGCAGGAAGCGGCAGGCCTGGAACTTGTATCCGTATAAACGTACGGGCAGTAAAAGCTCTCTTCGGGCCAGTAGAGTGTCAGAGAGTGCCCCTCTCAGCGTGCAAATTCTGTCTCAATGTTCAAGAGGTTATTCCAGCATCCTGAATTCAACTTAAAACTAATTTGTGTAGCTATAAAAACCCCCAACAAAAATGTGCAGCTTCCCCAAGCCTGAACAACCATTTGTAAAGAGATCTTTCGATCTCTTACCCAACTTCTATGGCCCCCCTATTTACCCCTACAATTAGAGCGTAAAAGCAGCAGCCACCACACAACTGGTAAATATTTATGTGTGCTTAT